GTGCAGAGAGTCTTGAATCCGAGGGAAAAGGACCTGGCAGGTTAGGGGGTGCTAGCAGGGGGCTGACTCGGGGGAGTTTGGAGGGGCAACTAGGACCTAGGGGTGATGTGGGTCACCCCACATTCAGGGTCTGAGAGAGCAGGTGAGCTGGGGGGAATAGGGTGGTGGCAATGTGTTCTTGAGGGAGAAGGCTAAGTCTGGGGGCGCAGTTCAAGGAGGAGTTTCTGGGGATCTGAAATGACTGGAGTGAGAGGCTGAGGGAGTGTAGCAGTGGTCCTGGGCACCTGAGGGAGGAGGCAAGAGCTGGTCCTGTCTGGTGGGGGCAGCAGAGGTGCGCCTTCCTCCTGGTCTTCTTTAGGGGAAGGCACAAAGGAGCTGCCATGCACTGAAAGGGGTGCAGCGTGTCTGAGGGGAGTCACAGGGTTGCTGCTTTCCATGTGGGGTGGGGTGCAAGTTACTTGCGTAGGGAGCGGAGTGTGGAAGTTTCTGTGAGGTTCAGGCGAGGGACAGGCATAGAAGTGATGTTAGTGCAGACTCGGGGTGCCCAAAGGGGGTGACAGTGTGCAGGGGCTTTTGGGAGGGTGGGCTGGGGTCAGGGCCTACAAGGAGTGTAGGGAGAAGTAGAACTCAGGGGCTTTCAGGCCCCCCACTCACACTGCCCACCCCCCAGAACGTGCCCCCCGACCTGGCCATCTGCTGCTTCATCCTGGAGCAGTCCCTGTCTGTCCGAGCCCTGCAGGAGATGCTGGCCAACACCGTGGAGGCTGGTGCAGAGGTGAGGCCCTAGCCTGCGGGGAGGAGGTGGGGGCAGGATGGCTGGGTAGGTGGGGCCTAAGGCCCTTACCACCTGCTCTTCTTCCTCTCTGCCCCACCCCACAGGCCCTCAATTTGGATAAGTGGGTAGGTTTGGCCTCAGGTGTCACCTGTCTTGACCCCTCCTCTCCTGACCCCAGGCCCGCCTCTTAGGCTCACATCCTGTACACAGGGGCTGGGGGTCTCCCTCACCCCTTTGGCAGGGGCTGTGGAGCCCAGAGCAGGCCAGGAAGGCAGGCGGGAAGGGGCCCTGAGCCCGGGTGCCTCTTCTGCCCCTTCCTCCTGCCTCCCAGTCTTACCCAGTCTGATCAGATCTCAGCTCTTCTCCGCATGGGACCTCTCCCCTCCACTCCCCATCCCAAGTGTGGGTCCCCTCCCGTCCAGGAGTGGGTCCGCCATGTGATCATGCACCTCATCACATGGTCTCCTCAGAGCGTGGGCATGTGGGGGCCCGGATGGGAGGCATGAGCGCCCGGGCGTTTCCCTTCTCAAGTAGATCCTCTCTCCCCCAAGAAGTGCCAGGTCTCCTTGGGTTTGGGGAGTGCTCAACATGTAACAGCTGATCAGACAGCACTGGACACATGGACAGCAGAGGGGACGGGGGTGCTGGGCGGGGTGGCCTTTGGGAATACAGGATGCTCCATCCCTGCTTCCATGGGTAGGGCAGAGAATCTATCCAGGGATTCTTGCCGAACATGATACTTTGTGGGGAGCAGGTCCCCACCTAGATAGGCCAGAGGGCTTCGGGGTCTGTGCTTACTCTTGCTGTCCCTTCCCCCGCAGTCGTCCCAGGGCGGGGGACACAGGACGCTCCTGTATGGCCACGCTATCCTGCTCCGACACGCTCACAGCCGCATGGTGAGTGCCGTAGAGAGGGGTGCGGCTGGGGCGGGGGTCACCTGTCTGGAGGAGGCTGACTCCCCTCTGCAACCCTAGTATCTGAGCTGCCTCACCACCTCCCGCTCCATGACTGACAAGCTGGCCTTCGACGTGGGGCTGCAAGAGGATGCAACAGGTGCAGGGGCGAGGGGCAGGGTGGGCAGGCAGGAGGCCGGGGTGCAGAGACTGCAGAGCGCTGGGGGGAGCACAGGAATGCTCTGAGGGCAGAGTCTGGGGTTGTGGGTGCACACATTTTGGACTGGGACCTTGGGGGGGCCCTCGGCAGAATCTGAAGGCCGTAATGGGGGACAATAGCTGTACATTTTGGGCTGGGGGCTTGGAGAGCTCAGTGGTTGGGGATGCCTGGGAGAAGGGCATTCTGGGAAACCATCATGCTGGCAGTCCCCCCCTGTCCCCACCCCTAGGAGAAGCCTGTTGGTGGACGATGCACCCAGCCTCCAAGCAGAGGTCTGAAGGAGAAAAGGTCCGAGTCGGGGATGACCTCATCCTCGTTAGTGTCTCCTCTGAGCGCTACCTGGTGAGCGATCCTGCAGTTCCCTCTGCTGCTGGCCTGGGGCCAGAGGGCTCAGGGCTGGCCCCTACCCTCACGGGGCTGGCTTGTCTCTACCCACAACATCCTGACTCCGGGTTTCTGCTCTCCTGACCTCTGACATCCTGTTTCTGGCTCCTGCCCCCCGTTTCCCCATGACCCCCATCTTGGTTTCCTGATCTGTGTGTGACCTTGACTTTTCTGTCTTCCATCTGCCGGTCTCCTGGCACTCTGGAACTGTGCCCCTCACCCCCTGGCCTTATCTCTGACCCCCCACATCCTCGTGGCCCCCAGCACCTGTCCACAGCCAGTGGGGAGCTTCAGGCTGATGCGTCCTTCATGCAGACACTGTGGAACATGAACCCCATCTGTTCCTGCTGCGAAGAAGGTGAGGGCCCCAGACCTCTGATCCCTAACAGAGAGCCCCCTCAAAACAGACCCCCATCTATCTCTGCCCCACAGATCCCATGCAGGTACCTCCAGATTATGACTGTAGTACTAGATCTCTGCGCCTGGGACCCCAGGGTGCAGACCACATGTCCCGCCCCTTCCAAGCCCCAAACTCAGATCAGACTCCTAAGCTGAGCCCCCAAAGTGTTTGTTCCCACATTAAGCTCAAGACTTAGAGGTCAGACCCCAGGCTAGAAGCTAAATTTAGAATATCATCCTTCAGATCCCCCAATTCAAACTCAGATTCCCTAACCAAGACTCCTAACGCCAACCCCAAATCTGAGCCAACCTCAAACCTCCAAGCTTAAACCTCAGCCTCCCAAGTTACCTCCCAGATTCAGCCCCCATGCTGAGCCCCCAAACTGTGGCCTCAAAACTTTGACTCTTGAACCCAAAACACTTGAACACAAACCTTAGGGAGCCAGACCAGAGCCACGTTGAGATCTGAACCACAGACCCACAAATTCGGGCCTTTATCTCGGACCTTGAACAGCAGGCCTGATGCCTTCAAAAGTCTTCAAACCCAGACCCCAAGGCTCAGGTGACAAAAAACGCAAAACTGGGGCCCCAACCGCAGTCCCACTCTTCACACCTCTAAACCCAGAGCCCAAGTCAAGCTTAGAACTCAGACCCTGATGTCAGGGAACATGAGACCCAAACCTTCCACCCCAACCTCAAAAATCCAAACACACAACCCCCCACCTTCAGCCCTGTATACCCAGACACCTGAACAC